TATATATCACGTCTTTCACGTCTTTCGGGCGTTGGCTCCTTGTAGGTGGCAGCCCTTGTGGCATCTAATTAAGGTGAAACAGAGAAAACGCCGGGCTCACCATCCCGTCCACTCATTCCTCAAAAACACATCCCTTTGCCGCTGTCCCTGCGCGAGAAATCCAATCTCGAAGAGGGGGGCGAGATGCTGGCGGGAGGATGGACGGAGGACCAGGGTGGCGGGAACACCACTGTTCCAAAGTCGGAGGGAGAACCTGACGAGATCACCAAGGAGGGTTTCCCTGGCGAGGGCTGTATGGTGTCTCGATGGAGGAGAGTCAACGCCGGGAGGATTGGAGAATCCACTCCAGTCTCCCAGATGAATGACAAACGCCGTGTTCTCATGAGGACCATCAAAGAACGAAGGGCACACACCTCCAGACAGGGATTCCAGACACTCTTGGTGGGTGTAGGTAACGCAGCTGCGAAGGCCAACCGCATGCATGTCACACCAGGGGCCGGGCCCGACAAGAACCCAAGTCGCCGTCACATGTGGCTGCCGGACGGCGGTGAAAGTGAGGTGAGAGACTTCCAAAGTATCGAGCACCAGACTGCTGTCTCGGAAGGTGCACGCGTCCGGCTCGACGTAGTCAGGCTCAGGGACAAGCCACTCGACTATATCGGTCTGTCAGACCCACTCCAAGATTTCCTGCATTGCATCCGAAACTTGTGGCAGGAGGTCCCCTTGTCGGAAGTGCTCAAGCAAGACTTCCGCCGTGGCCCGCAGTCGAGGTGTAGAGGCACAGACACAAGAGAAGGCCTCTCTGGTGCGTTGCCAAAGGATCTCGGGAGAGGGTTGTGCATCACCAAGAGGGAGATCATGGGTAATCATAGAGACACAATCCATGACTTCGGCGATCGGGCGCTCCTCCTCTGGTACCCACTCTCCTTGTGGAAAGGAGAGAACAGGGCCCTGAGCCTGAAGGACCGGGGCCTGCACAGCACCTGCGTCCTCAGCTCGAACGCTGCCTTGGCCGGGCTCGGCCGCGCACGCAAACCCCGAAACACACAAGCGGCGACGGCATTCCGTGTTGTAGGCGAGGTGTTTACAGAGCTTGAGGTTCGTGCCAAAGTGCCGCATGCAGTACTGACATTGGTGGCCCGTCAGAACGCCCCGTCCCACCGTCTGCCGACCATGTGTTTTGAAGGCATGGACAGACCACGTCTGCCGGTTAGGGAAGGTCTTGGCGCAGAGCCCACAGCAGTACCTTTTGTCCCAGGAAGAAGGTGGGGGAACTGACAGGATCCCGCCTGCAAGACGCAGCTGCCTGGCCAATAACCCCCGGTGGTAGCCAGAACTGGCTGCCCAGGCTTCACGACGGACAGCTCGAGCTTGCGCTTGTCGCAGTATCCGTTTCCATGTGTTAGGGCGGGATTGCATGTCGGAGCACCATACAGTCCACTGGGCGCGGAGAGTAGCAGGCCCATCGCCTGGGCAGACAAGACTGTGAAGCCAGCTGAGAGAGTCCCGCACACTCTCCAGCCAGCTCTTCTCGGCATGAGCAAGGGCCCAGAATTCCCGTGAGCCAACAGCAACACAGGATTGCAGGTGTCGAAGTCTGGCCATGTGAAGTAGGGTCTCCATCGTTGGAAGTCCAATAAGGGCCAGCGGCCAAGGCCCTCTGCGCCCCGAGTCTACGGGCCGCATCCGCCTTGTATGCTGGCCTCATCATGGCATAAACCATCTGGTGATATGCGGAGGAAAGGCACTGCGACTCAGGGGACTCCAGGGTCCGCCACGTGCCAGCCCCATACAGCGGTACAGACAAGACCAGGGATTCATAAAGATTGGTTTTGTCTTTCCAGGCTACACACGGGGATGCAAAGATATGTTTCCTCCGCTTGGTGAAGGCAACCCAGGCCAGAGCAACGCGGTGCCTAATCTCTCGAATCAGTGCTCCAGTTTGATGTATCTGGCCTCCCAGGTGCTTGTAGAGGGGGACAAGCTTGATGCGCGCATCCGAGTCGACTACTGGTGGCAATAGTAGCCGGGTTGTCTCGGAACAGGCGGGCACGTTCCTTGCGCGAGCCGGCACCCCGTAGGGAGACAATGGCCTCGGTCTTGCCTTTGTCCAAATTAGGGAGCAAGGCGCGTCCGAGGCATCCGTCGAGAAGGGCCCCAGCTGTGACACTTAGTTTGTCAGCAAGGGCATCCGCAGATCGGCTGCGTACCATGAGGGCAGAGTCGTCCATCCAGGTGCAGTCGAGCAATGGCAAGGTATGCTCAGCAGGCTGAGTGGGCGGCCAAGGAGAGTTAAGCATGTCAGGGTGCCAGGGGATCCGATCAATGCCCACTGCCTCATCAACAACTTCCCTGGTTCGTTTGAGAACTTCAGCGAAGACATAGCTGAATATGAGATCGGCAAGGTTGTCACCTGGGCGTGTGCCTATGCCTGTCTCCGTGAGGAGTTGACCATGCTCGAAGCGGAACCACGTGTGCTGGAGGGCCTCACAGGTCACGGCATCCAACCAGGGGGAAGCACCTGCATCCCGGAACAAGGAGCTGTCACGTAAATGGCTGTGAAGCTCGTGAGAGAGGCCTGGCGGCAAGTCCACGGCCCTCAAGACCGCTTGTATATCATCCTCAGACCCCTGGAAGCCGGTCACCTTTGGTCGCACTATCCGGTAGAAGGCTTCACGGAGGTCAAGGAAGATGACAGCATGGGAGGTGTCTTCGGAGATACACCACGCCTGATGCAACCTCACCACATGAGCTGCCAACGTAACCGGCCGCTTAGGTAAGCCGCCCACCTGCAGGGGAGAGGCCACAGCCTCTAGTGTGGGCACATTCTTCTTCCTTAGCAGACTGTGATAGGCTTTGCCAATCGTCGACGACACTAGAATTCCTCGATAGGAGCTGCAGACGGCCGGTGACGACTTACCTTTCCAGACCGCATAGAGAGATCCCCCCTTGAAGTGGAGGGGTTCTTCAACTCTCATGGCACATTTCAATATGACTGCGTAAAGAGCTCGCGCCGCAGGCCCCGGGACAGTATGTAAGGCTTCTGCCGGCACGCCATCAATGCCAAACGCCCTGTGGAGCATGGTGCAACGGAAGGCCTTCTCCAGGTCGGAGCAGGAAGGAAGCTCATCAGGGGCAATCACAAGATCCGAGAGGTCGCGTTTCAGTTGAGCGGCAATGCAGGAATTAGCAAGAGATTGTGGGTCCTTGGTGACTCCGGCTTCAATCGAGGAGAAGTGCTCAACCCAGGCTTTCTCGACGTCAGCGGGATCTTGCGCGGCATTGCCGTCTTTCAAGCGGAGGCCGGGTAAACCCTTGGGAGGTCTCGACTTGCGGCTGGAAGGACCAAGCAGACACTGAAGGCGGGAAACCACATTGCCTGTGCTGGTACAAGGTGCCTCTTGGGCTGCATGTGAGATGCGACTCGACATGTCCAGTCGGATGTGTCGGCGGAGAGCTTGCTTCGTCTCACGCAAATCTCCGATGAAGGATACCAGTGGGCGCAAGTCGCGGCCGCGGCGGACCAACGAATACACAACGAGTGCAACCTCAAAGCGAAGCCGAAGAGCCCATCCGTAGACTGCACAGCGTAGGTTGAACTGGGTGATGGTGGCGCCTAGGCGTGTGATGCGCCTGCGGAGCCAAATCCGGCGCTGCCGAATTTGCCATGTCTGTGCACTAAAATGGGAGGACCGACAACGGCCACGCACCGGGGGAAAGGCCGTGGATAGAGACCTTACCAGGTAGTCTTGGACCCTGGCGTAATGTTCATGGACGTTGAGGTCCCAGGGTTGGGGAGGAACCGAAGCAAAGATAGTCTTGAGAGTGTCCTTCCCTTGCACCGAGAGCATGGTCTCTCGGTCAAAAGCCGGTCGGCCGGCGCGATGGCTGTGTCGGCTCACACTGTGGAAGGTGGCCCAAGTGCGTAGAGCACAATGGTCAATATTACTTTGCCCCCAGTCCAGTGCAGTGAAGAAGACCGCAGAGCCTCCATCCGCGACGCTCCATGAGTTCGGTAGAATTGCATAGTCCAGGCGAGCTCCAGGGCCACCGCCGGGAGGCCACCATGTCTCGGAGGGGCCTGGATGACAGGTGCTGAACGTAGAAGGAATCCACATCCGATGCGCGCAGAGGACGTCAGGCAGTGATGGGGCCAAGGTGTGCTTTGTAGGAAACACTAAGTCGCCACAACGGCACCCGAAATGCTATCGGCAAAGTGGGCGTTGAGATCGCCCAAAATGACGATGTGGTTGTCCCGACTAAAGCGGTCAATGTTTGCCCGGAATTCTCGCCACCAAGCATCTCTGTGAGGGCACACTGACACAGGAGCGTGGGCAGAGATAAAAAGGATACGAAGCTCGCCTCTGCAATATCTGACGAATAGGTCGCGAGGACTAGAGTGAAGGACCAAGAGGTGCGGCGCCTCGAAGAACAGTGGCGTACCACCAAGGGTGGCAAATGCATGCTTACGCGAAAGCCAAAGCTCAACCCCGTAGTTACCACGGGAGTCCCGGCCTGTGCAGAGGCGGATGTGTGTCGCGGATACGTGCATACTATCCGCTGGTGCCCTGGCCTCCTGTAGCGCAACGACATGAGCGCCGTAGTAATCGAACTGTTCCCGCAGAAAGGCCGCGCGGCCTTTGAAGCCGTCGCTTCCATCGCCAACGGCCGGCCCCGACGTAGTAGAGGGTTCCGACAGCGTTTGGGTGTTCAGGGTGAAGAGACACAGCGTGACAACCAGGGGTTGCCGTTGAGGGTCTGTCCCCCCCGAGCCTGTGAGTCAGAAGAAGCTGCAACACCGTTCCGAGCTGAGGGCAGGGGGTTCCCCTGGGCGGTCACAGTCGACAAAGCCGGAACCATGGTAGCGTGGCCACAGTCCAGGGTGCCTGGAAGCTTCAAGGGCCAGCCACAGCCACGAAAAGCTAGGAGAACGGCAGCAAGCAGCTGCGAGACACATGTGCGAGGAAATCTGGTCCTCCTTGTCGGCGCGACATGCCCACTTGGCAAGGCGGTCCACAACTTCATTTTCTAAGACGCCCTGGTGAGAGCGGACATGGTGAATGTCCGGGCATCTGGTGGTTTTATGGGCAATGAGTGCTTGGAACGCGTGCCTGCAAACGCCAGCAAGACCATCAGGATCAGCGGCACCAAACTCTCCCGTGGCTTGGGAAAGCGCAACCTGGCAGTCCGCAAAGAAAGCGGTCTCCTGATGGTGTGGGGTCTGAAGGGCCCATATTGTCGCCCAAAGCAGAGCCGACTGTTCCCCGACCAGTGCGGTATGGCGGGTGGCCCCGACGCACCCCGGGTGTTGCTCATCCGTAATGACACGACCAGCGGCCCAGCCTTGCAGATAAGACCCTCCGCCGTCCGTGCCAAAGACTGCAAAGGCCCAAGAGCTGTGGCGACCATCAAAGGAGCCATCTGTGTAAAGTTGAAGTGCCCTGGTATGATTACCGTCAAAGACACCGAGGTGTCCGGGAAAAGCGGGGCCCAGTTCGGAGATCACCTCCGTCGGAAGCACACAGGGCAACGGCCAGCCACCCGGTTTGACCAAATTCGTCGCGACTGTCAATTGATGCCCTGGGACAAAAGACACCGCGGTCAGGTCGTAAGCCTGTGTGGCTGGGAGGTGCTCAGCCAAGGTAAGGACGGGGACCTGCCTCAGCCTGACCTGTGCATAATGCTCGATAAGCGTATCAAGAAGAGTCGCAGCATTAAAGAACGCAAGGGACCCGGGCACACGGACAGCTTCGTCCAACAGAGTGGTCAGGCCGTCATCATCAATGCGCTCCCGCACCTCATCAACTCCAAGGCCAGCACCATAGGCAGGGACTGACAGACCATGGCGGCTGTCAGGGCCTGATTCAGGGCGCCGCGACCAAAGTGGGCGGGGTATCTCAAGTACCTCCGAATGGGCCAGGGCATGCCTCTCATCACCACTGCCGGCTTTCCTGGTGCGATCAAGGATCTGAACCCCATTTGCTTGTTGGAAGCAGGTGTATAATAGCACCCAAATCGCAAACCGGTTGCGATGGGCCAGTGTCCGTGTACCACGGTCGCAACCGATCCTAAGCATGCGTAGGTTCGGGCACGCCAAACCAAGCAGGAGTAGGTGCACAGCACCAATGGCTACCACAACATGCAGGATGTAGCCCAGGGTCCAGCGTGGATCGGAGGCAGTGACAGCCATAAGGAAGAGGAGGACAATTCCGGCGCCTGTGGAAAAGGCGACTTGCAAAATTCCAGAAATGCACATGGCTACTCGACTCTCCCAAGCATGTTGGCTGGAGGGACCGGCGTCCATTGACCCAAGTCCAGGTGGGATGCCGGCTGAAAAGCTCAGGCCTGCTGGAGGGCCAGTTGGGTCGTCCGGAGGCTGCATGTCATCATCATCACCCTCGTCTGCATCGGGTTGGTCGCCATTGTCGTCAGGCCCCCTGGGTGGTTCGATGCCTTGGTACCACCGCGGGGCAAACTCAATGGCGAGGGTCTGGCCGGCATGAACGCGGCGAGAGTGATTCTCCAACCCCGGTGCGGATGTCCCCCCATGCAGGCGAATACAGTGTCCAGGTGGACATCTGTGCATTTGCCTGCCACATATCTCTGCCACGTCCACGATGCCGTCGGGCGCAGAGGCCCACGAAATCCCCAGAAGGATCGGACGCAGGTCCATAATGAAGGGAACACGGCCCGAATCGGGGGTGCGGACAGCAAGAAAGACCTGTTTCGAGGCAAGGCCACGATGCGAATGGTTCCTGATCGGAGGCCATGCTGGCATAAAGGTCAACGAGGTGGGAGTGATACCGAGGTACTGCAAAAGCCAACAGCCGCACAGAGGAAAGGCGATCAGCGACATCCCGCTCCAGAGCCAGGTAGGCTTTGAGCTCCTTCACGTTGATATGCTGAGAGGGCCGTCCTTCAGCAACCCAGCAAGTCACAAACTGAAGAGCCCTGAGGAGCTTCCTCCACAGAGGGTGGGGGGTGAAGTTCTCACCTTCAGGCAGTTCTAACCCCTCAGACAAAGCACCCTTAGCTACCACCACCCACATCGGAGTGCGGGGGGGGGGGCGGCGTGCAGTAAATCTCTGGTGGAGTTGATCGGTGAGCAGCCAAACTCCATCCTCAGCTGGTCTGGGAAAAACTGGGTCATCACGCCAATCCGCAGGCGCCTGAAACATCTGCTCGAAGTCCAACGGCGGTGCAAGAGCATGTTCCATCGGGCAAATGGAAATAAGGTCACCCGGCTGAACAAAAATGCGCGCCTCGGCCGGAACAGCCCAGGGCACACCCTTGACGAATATCTGCGTCGGGGCGTCGTCTTGAATCCCGACCAGACGATAAACATCTCCAACGGAGAGGCTGGCCGGAACGAATTCCGCAAAGATTCGCACAGGGCTGTGGTAGCAGACAAACAGCACTGGTATACCTGCGGCCGGCCACGCCGGAATGGCCAGGACACACGCGAACGAAAAAGGGGGCTGTACCTGGACCGGAAGCATTTGAGGAAAGAGATGCGCACTTTCCGCATCCCTCTCCCTGGCTACAAGGGGAAGAATGTCTGCAGTCGTGGATGGGAGTCTGGCAGCAACAGAAACAATCTCTCCTTGATATTCAGGGGAGAGAATGAGGAAGTGCATGGTGATGGCTTCCTGGTCCAAGCGGGGCTCGGTGGCAAAGTCGAGCTCCTCAGAGTTCTCAGGTATGCTACCCCACACGCCATGCGCCCAATTCAAGGCGTCGATCAGGAGGAGCCTGCTGTGCAACTGGCAAGGACGAGGAACTGGAGGCAGCTGAGGACAAAGCAAGATGTTGCGGAACATAACCCAGCCTGAAAACCTGGCCTGGCACAGTCCTTTGGATGCCTGTCTGTTCCTCCTGGTCCAAAACAGCAATTTGCCAGCCTCGCGGGGCATCGAATCCTTGAAGCAGGGCATCAAGGTCAAGCCGTCCTCCCGGGGCATGGTGCGAGCGCCAGCGCTGCCCTAGGGCACGGCAGTCTAGAAGGACCAAATGACCGTAGAACCCTCCATCAGCATTGGATTCAGCGACCGCAACTACATTCCGGCACGGTGTGCCCTCAATGGCAACATCAGTCTGTCTGGGACATGCCGCGAAGAGTCGAAGCCTGTGTATGTGGACCTGAAGTGCCTCTGCGATGCTACTCCTGTACCTAATATGCTCCTCAGGATCTATCAGATGCAGGCCGCATTGGTCATGGGCCACTAGGCAGTAGGCACTGTCGACGGACGGCGCGGGGACCTCGGCATCGGGCGTCACAACCACACGCCTAAGGAGCATTTGACCTAGGACAGGCAATAAGGGAGGAGGGTACGCTACCGGCAGAAAGCAAATAAGCGCACCCGGAAACACATGAACCGGCTCCTCCGTTGTCAGCAGCAGCTCGTCATGCACAAGCCAAATATCCACGCCGAGTGAGTGCGGAAGGCCCGCAATTTGGACAAGCTCATGTCTGCAGACATAATCTGGAATAGACGCGGTGAAAAGGCGCCGATCCAAGAGAGATGTGTCTAGACAGACACCGTGGCAAGTGCGATCCCAATTCGGTGCCGCTAGGAAGACAGCGGTACCCGGGCGCGGCTGTGGCAAGATAGAGAGCAAAGAGGGAAAGACATTACGTATAGAGGGACAGCGGGCAGCTTGCAGGGCTACCACCAGCTCCTCTTCTGTGCACGGAATCTGAATGGCAACAGTGGCGCTTTCCGTGCGAAAACCCTCTTTGAGCACCGCGCAGTGAATCCACTGGGTGTTGTCACTGCTCTCACTGTCGGAGCCGGATGCATCGGAGTCGACCATGCCCCCTAAATCAAGGAAAGGGGGAAGGCTAGGCAGCCGTTGTCCTCCTAGGGCGAGCGTGGTGGAACGCAGCTCATTGAGGTGTCTGCTCTCAGCTTGGTTGCGACCCTGCAGCTCCTGGAGATATTTGCATGCGCGGCCGGCCGAGGCGGGGCCATCCATGGGCTTGGTACAGTTGAGCCGGAACTGCCCAGTGCGGACACTCACAGCACTTTCAGCAGGGACACTGAGGAACCCAAGCGCGGGAAGGTCGAAGCTCCAAGGAGGACCTGGCCAGCCCAAACAGCAAAATTTGGAGGCAGGG